CGCTCGCCAGTAGCCCGTCTTGGAACCCTCTATGCTTGTAAGTGTGCCAGCTTTGGTTTACTTGAAGGTACAAGAAACTGAGTGTTTCTTATGAATAGTTTAGATAAGACTTGCGAATTTTCGATGTCCATTCGATTGGGAAGCTCTCCGAGGCATGGTTAGGGCTAGTTGCGACATTGGCCACGTTTTGTCCGAGGCTAAGCTTGAGTGATTTGCTGAGCGGTGGCTGCTGATGTGTCGGCAGTTCTTGTTGGTTGTATCACGCTGAATGCTTTCATTTTGGATGCGCTCAAATTGTTGTTGTTGTTTTACTCTCATCTGTGTTGGTGCGTATTTTCTCGCTTAACTAGTATTATTGTTCTTCCCTAACATCATGTATTTATGCACTCGCTCTCTGTATATTCTAATTTCTGCTCGCCTGCCCGTTGCAATTATTTGCTGTAAATTATAGTTTTACATACTAAAAGAAACACTACTTAACGTTGATCGCATTGACACAGTGTATTTCACGCGAATTCATCTATCTTTCCTGATGCTTCTCCAGCTGGCCTGCGACATTTGCGCGCTGTGTTTTTAGTGTTTTAGTCACAGTGTTTAGTCACAAAACACATTGTTTAGTCGCATTGTGTTTTCATTTAAAAGAGCACGTATTTCCATGTGCTAATATGTTTTTTCTTTAACTCGGAAACCAGAGAAGCGAGGAAGATAAAATTTTGAGAGAACGTTCCCTGCCTACGTATGACCTGCAGTTTGAATTGAGCCGTACGTGCGCTTAGGTCTCACGCACGATCACGCGGAAATTGGCGCAAGAATTTCTAGCTTGGGAACCACAGATATTAGGAGGCTGGAGTTTTACGAGGATTTTCAGTGCGTGTGTGCAGTTCAGAAATTTTAAATTCAATTTCTTATATGCGTATAGATTTCATCGCGAAGAATTCTCGCGGAATTAGCTCGGTAGCCAGAAAAACTAAGAGGCCAAAATCTAAGGAAGAAGATATGCGTGCGTGTGCGACACAGGAAAGTTTTAGATTCAGCTACCACATGTGCTCAAGTTTCACGTACAAAAGTGTATACTTTGGCGTGGAATTTTCCAGTTCCTTAACCAGACTGAGCAGAAAACCAAAATTTCAAGAGAATGTTTCCTGTCCATGTGCAACTCAGAAAATTTTACATTACGCATCGGTGTATGTCTTCCTGCATCATCCCATAGTCGGTGCGTCTCTGCTTATCCCATCAGCCAGGACGTAACGTCGTCTGTTCAAATCCTTGAATGAACAAATAAAAAGAGCTCAGTGCATCTCAGTTTACAGAATTCCTTTGGAGTGGCACAGAAACTTGGAAAAGCACTCCAGGCAATAAGAGAATTTGTTGCAGTAAAAAAAATTTTTATTTTTCTGCCAATGCAGGAACGAAGTTTAACACCACACAATCAAACAGTAGCATGGAAAAGTAGACAATTTTTGGCCGTTTACAGTGAGTTGCGTTGCTTCCAGGAAATCTTCCATCACTGCGCGGTTTTCCGCTAACAGACGTGGTGCCCTGGATTAGCAGTATTGTCTTGCAGAAATCGAAATTTTGACTTCGCCGATAGGAAAATCAGTCCCTCTACGACTTGTTCATTCGTTGGAAATTATCCAATTTGCTCTTGATCTTGTAAATTCAGGCGAAATCTTAGCTGACTTATATTCAGAGTGTGAGGAAATTACTGCATGATGTACTTGCAAGTCGTCTGGCTGCTTTTAGTACATGGGATTTAAAGCAACAGTACAAGATTGGCGTATGCTAAGGAGTCAAACTCATCATCAGCTTGCTTGTAAGCAACTTTCGAAAGAAAGAATCGTCGGCAGCTTTGCCAGCGACTGGTTGCTATTAGCATTTGCTACCACTCGGGCTGCTTCCCAAATGTATTCGCCTCATTGAAAGCAAACATGGAGGGGTTTTTGACTTTTTGCCGCAGTTTTCTCCATTTTCAATGCATTATGAGGCAGGTGCCGTCGTGAGATGTTTTCCTTTCTCCAGTGCAATGTGTTTTGTAGTAACTGTGCGAAATTTCCAGGGGCTGGCTATGGTTGGTCGTTCGACGGTCCGTAATCGCCATCACGTGAATCGTCCGTGCGCCTCTGTTGCTCCGTCCACTGCTTCTGCTCTCTCCCGGATCGATGACAAGAAAAAGTAATTTTCCATTTTCACTACAGTTATTTAGCAGTGTGTATTTTCAAGAAAATTTAATGAATTTTTGATCTGTTGAATAATGATTTACAGGGCTGAGGAATGTGCAAGTCTGGCAATGCAAATTCATCCGATCTGGCCAGATATGCCGCAGGG